GAGGAAACGGGAACAGGAAAGTCCTTGGTCTCCACCTTCTCAGAAGACCGGCGAGAAATGGGCATAAGGACTTGAGAGCCCCTCAGCGGCTTCTTGGATGCTGGTTATCGGCAGGGGTCGCGCCCATTTGCTCTGTGTCTGTGCCCCCTATGAACATATGGCTGTAGTTCCAATTCAGAGTTCCTCTCCAGACAGCCCTCTGCCCACTCACGTCTCCTCTCTGCCCTATAGGTGCTCTGGCAGGACAGCTCCTCTTCACGGAGTCTGAGGAGTCCTAGTTTATGGCGTCACTTTCTCTCGGAGACACCAGCAGCTAGCCAGTTCCTCAGTTAAGCAGAGCATGTGAAGCGAGGAGCATCCGCTGTCACATGGGAAGCGTCCGTGTAACCTAAGGGAACAGGGGCAAGGACCTGCCTGGCTTCACAAATGGAAAAACAAAAGGTGGGGACCAAATGGAATGCATATGATTTTTCCCTCTCTGCCTAATAATTTTCAATCACAGAAATCTGGATTACATATAAGTAAGTGTGAGAAACTTAAAGCCCACAGAAGGCAATGGCTGCTTATTTTAAAACTCAAGGTCCTTGAAGCAGACAGTATACGCAAGCTTTTCTCCAGGACCCTGTCGGACCTCGTAGGTAAGCAACCCTTCTACTTTCCTCAAAAGCAGTCCGAGACTGCGATGAGGACAAGAAGAGGAATGCGGAAATTCTGCTTTCATACGGAGGTAAACAAGTGGGCGGGGCTTTCCGAATTATTCTACCCAATTCCTAACTCTGCAGAAAGAGAGGCTCAGAAAGGCTAGGAGCCGAAGGCAAAGCTTTAGGTAAACGCACTCCTAAGTCCCAGATGAGGAAAGCTAGGAGACAACAGTGTTCACAGCCAGCCAGCCTGGACACTTCATACCTGATTTGCTATCACTAACCACTTGAGTTGGAAAAGGATTGGCCCTCTGGGACAGGGCAGGGTTGTCAGAGCAGTCTGTGGAGGCTCAGTGTGGGGCATTGAGCAGTGAGAAAATCCTTTAGGACCCTCTGGTCCCCTGTGATCCCAAGACAATGTAACCATCCCCTTCTACCAAATAGCCAGTAGCTCCAAATCTTCACAAAAGCTCCTTCTCCAGCTGCCTGCCAAGAAGAAAATTTCCCCCTCACTCAATGCTCAGCCTCGGTGCTGAAAAGACCATCAGTTAGATCCCCAAGACCCAGGATAGGAGGCAGGATGATCTTCTACCTATAATCCCAGGCCATGGAGGCAAGGGCGAGGATTCTCAAAGCAAGCTAGACGAGCCAAACCACTGGGCCCTGGGTTGAAGTCACGCCTCAATATATAAGGTGCAGAGTAGTTGAGGAAAATATTCAACATTAACCCTAACCTCTACACATGTGTGAATGTAAATACACACACACACACACACACCACATAACATAAACAACCAATAAAACCAACAAAACAAAACACCCAAATCCAGTTCAGCCTTTCTCAGGCAGTCCAATTCTTACTTCCCAATGTCCTTGTCTCTGGCGCTCCATGTGTAATCGAGGGGCCTTAGGGAAGTGAAATATTGCTTTCTGTTTAATCTGCATATTTGCAAGGCTGGCATCCTGAGTATGTCACTCACGTGCCTCATTCTGGAGTCTAGGCACAAGAAACTCAAGCACAGAAGTCTACATAATGGAGCCTCCAGGACGCTGGCACAGTAGCGTGTTAATGAGTGTTAAAACTGACATTGCAAATACAGTGTTCTCGATGTTTAAAATTACAACCCTGGAACAAGTCATGCTGTTAAAACATACAAGAAATCCCAGTGAAGCCTTCGAGTAGAGACCACACAGCCTGTGGCCTCTATTGCCGCTATCCCAAAGTGCAGAACAGATCATTTCCGTTGAAACGATGCAGGAATTAACAGGTAGCTCAGTGCTTTGAGTGCTACGGTAAGTAGACATAACAAATCTGGGTACTAAACATCAATTACTACCTGACGAGCTAGGCATAAGCCCAGCATTCTACACGCCCTCCTCAGCAGCCAGAAACGCAGCCCAGGACTAATGCATCTGTGCGATGAACATGTGTCACTTCCAAATGTCCATCCCATGTGCTGTGAGGAAGCTCAGCCCATGTGTCTGTCCCAGTGATATTGAACATGTCAGAAGCCAGGAATAGAGTTCCTCCTCAGCCACCAGCTGGCCATGGTGGCTGTTTCTACTGTGTTCCCCCAAGAAAGGATCGTACAAGGCTACCTTGATAGTCTATGGCTCACATCATCGTTGGAGCCTTTATTTCCAAGAACAGGGCACAAAATGAATCTGGTCTCCCCTGGTTACCAGGAGAAACTACCGTGGGAGACATTATCTAAACTTGGCTAATCAGAGGCTTTGTATCTGAGCCAGGACTTGTGAACTTCATACCTCCGTGTGGTTTAGTGATAAAGGAAAGGTTCCCAGGCTCTCACAGCATTCTTTATGGTCTATGGGAATCACTGCAGAGTCCTAGCCATCTGGGCTGCTCTCCCTCAAGGTTTCTGAAACCACTGCTTGGGGAATTCAATGTTTCTGGGACCTTTACATTCTCAGAAGCAACTAAAAGTCTTGGTGGGCAAAGGAATATTCTTTTACAAGTATACATATATGTACAAGAAATGTTAAAAAGACAGTCTCTAAAGCACTTTGGGATTCCCCCAATGAAAGGCACCAGATAAAGCAAGTCATTACCAAAAAAGAAAAGTCAAGTTTTCCAGCTTTCAGATCCTTGTAGGTACCCACGAGGGGTAGCTCTTTTTTGGTGTTAAACATGTTCATTTAGAGAAATCCTTAGGAGAGTGGTTAAGTCATTCTGCCTCTTGCCTCTTCTTTCAATCAGCTTCACGGACTGTGACCATGGATCATGCCCAGTTACCATATCCCATCAGCCTCAGCAAACTGACACAAGTTTACGCTGCCCCCTGCCTTCAGTGCAGCTGGGGACAGTTTTATAAATGCTTGGTCTTCCAGGGCTGAAGATACTAACCATAACCAACAACAACAGTTCCGTGTGCAAACTCCCAAAACCAACCCCCTTCTTCTGGTTCATAGGTGGCGCTCCTTGAAGTCACTCCACATTCTTGCTGCTTTGGAATAATAGACATAGACATGTCTGCACGTAGGCACTAGGAGGTTGCCACCCTCTGCCCCTCGTGAGTCTCCAGTCTGATGAAAGATCTGAACTGGAGGCTCAAGGGCATTAAATGGCCAGTGCATTCATCCAACAAATCGCCCACACTGTAGTCACCATGGCAACTACTAGTACACAAAGCCCTCTGAGAAGATCCATTCCACACCCCCGTGAGGTGTGGTTATCCTTAACCAACTAAAACAAAAATGGACCATTAAAGAGTAGGCCCAAACTTTGGATTTAAAGCCTGTTTATCTCCATATTTGGATCCCTGGATTCTATAGCCTTGCCAAAGACTCAGCAATAACGAAAGCCACTGGAAAACCATCAGCTTACTTAGAAGATAATGGGAAAGAATTATCTTAAAAGGGTCCCAGGTTTCCCTTCATAATGTTTCGTGCTAACTGAATGGTGTGTTGGAAAAGGAAATAGAGGTAACCCTTCAACACAGCTTAAAAGTTGAAAGGGTTTTTTTTTTCTTTTCTACTAGTTTTAAGCTTTTAAAGAAACTCACAGTTATTTATATCTTATAAAGCAGAAGTTTTTGGCTTTATAACTCTTTTCTTCTGACCTCTACCCCTGCCCCCCAAACCCCACTGTAATTGCAATGGAAATAAAACCTACAGCGTTTCCGCCCTGGGTAAACCACACTGTCTTCATGCACATCTGTATCTTGAATATGCTTCTGTACCAGGTTTCCATGACACAGCAGGAACTCAAGGCAATCAAACACTACACATACTATCCTGTGTCCTAGAAGCAAAACTACCTAGAGCAAACTCTGCTCACAAACTGAAGAGCATTCATTTTATGGGCTTTCAGAGCAGGCAAGAAAATGTTTAAGCTACTGTCCTTGCCAGCAACCTGACAGTGCTTAGCTCACAAAGACAACAAAACACTAACCTCTTCTAGTGGAGAAAGACAAAACAGCCTTATTCCTAAACATCTTTTAAAAAGAAATGCTTGAGAAACATGCTAATACCAAGACACAGCAAACTTTGGTCAAAATGGCCTGGATTGAGAATCTCAGCCAGAAATAAATTTCTCTGTAATTCCCCCAGGAAAAAGAGGCCTGACCATCAATAAAAGAGCTTAGCTTACATAAACTCTGCTTATAGCATCCTAGGGTTCAGTCCATGTTTAGCTAAAGTCCCTGTCCCTAAATACTTCTCTGTTTGGGGAAAAACAGTCCTTACTACATATTGACTGACTAACATTCTCTTCTATTGACACTAAGTAGATACACATCAATACACTTCTTTCTTTAAAATGACTGGTGCATTCATGCACATCACAAGGACACAACCAGGTAGAAAGACAACTCGAAGACTTGCATTGGTCAAGTGTGCTTAGCTTCGCAATCTCTCTGTTTTGGTATTAAAGGTAAATGAAAGCAATGGATACATAACTGAGATTATTTTCCCATGGTTGTGATCCAAACCTCAAGATATCCTTGCTGACCTCATAGACAGATTGTTCTCACTGGGACTCATACAGCAACCTCAGAAATAGGAGCACAGATAACTCAACTCACAGGTAATACTGAGGTGTGAGCATTAGAATACTGTACACAGTGGACAGAGAAACTAGATACTCATCTGGCAGGAAGATGAACATTTGATGCCCATGATGCAAACGCCAGTGAGTGTCATGTCATTGAAAGGTGCAAAGGCGTGTTATTAGACACACCATCCTCAAAAAACAAAACAGTACTCTAAACATTGCAAAAGCAACCTAGGGCTTATATCCCATGCAGCTCTCCCTCTAGGGTCAGGATGACTTCTTATGCCATAGCCCTAAAATTGCCCTGACTGTGCTAGAAGCACAAGCAGCAGATCAACAATGTAAGTCTGGGTCCCAGCTAATGCAGAGAATCATCTAAACTCAGTTCACTGGGTGAACTCCTGCTCATGTTTGTCAGGCTTGCCATGAGGGACTTAACTTTATGAGCATAGTAGTCCCTTAAATTGACCGAAGGGACCTCCTTCATTCCATCTCCAAAGTCACAGCTGCGCATAGCACTCTCAAGTTGCTTTTGGCGCCGATAAAAGTGGGAGAACTTATTGAAGATCAAAGTGATGGGCAAGACCACCACCAGGATGCCTGCCAAGATGCAGGCAGACGCAGTCAGCTTCCCAGCTGTGGTCCCCGGGACCACATCTCCATACCCAACAGTGGTCATACTGACGGTGGCCCACCACCAGCAGGCAGGGATAGTGGCCAGGCCCTCGTTCTCCTCCTTTTCAATGGTGTAGGCCACCACAGAGAAGATGGAAATCCCCACTGAGAGGTAGAGCAAGAGCAACCCCACTTCCTTATAGCTGTATTTCAGGGTGGCTCCCAAGGAGCGCAGACCAGTAGAGTGTCTGGCCAGCTTGAGAATTCGGAAGATCCTCATCAGCCTCAGGACTTGAGCCACCCTGCCCAAGTTAGCCAAGGTCGGAGAACTCTCCACCACCAGGTTCACCACTAGAGTTATGTAAAAAGGGACAATGGACATCAGATCAATAAGATTTAGAGCATTCTTGAAGAACTTGAGAAAGTCAGGGGCCACAGCAAACCTGGCCACCAACTCAAATGTGAACCAGGCAATGCCAAAGTGCTCCACGATTTCAAACCTCGGGTCTTCACCAGGGTTTCCCTGGCTATCAAGGATCTGGAAGTCTGGCAGGCTGTTGAGGCACATGGTGATGATGGAGCCCAACACCACCAGAATGGAAAGGACACTGAAGACCCTGCTCAGGACTGAGTAGCCCGGGTTGTCCAATGCCAGCCACAGCTGCCTGCGGAAGTTGCCAAGGGGTTGCCCATCGAACTTGGACGCATCATTATAGAAGGCCAAGATCTCATCGAAGGAGGAAGTGGTGCTCTCCTGGTCACTCTGCTCGTCCCACTTCTCCTGCTCAGGTTCCACTTTGCGACCGTGATAGCTATAGCTGCAGCAAGAGTCAATGAAGAACTCATTGATACCCCAGTACTCGATCTCCTGGCTGAAGGAGAAGACGCACAGCTCAGCCATGACGTGAAGCTTGCCGGTGTGGTAGAAATGTAGCACGTAGGGAAAGAGCTCAGGGTTACGGTCGAAGTAGAACTCACGCTGGACGTCGTCGTAGTCATCGCAGAGTTCCAGAATGGCCTCTCGCGAGTGGCAGAGGAGCAGACGGCCCAGGCGTGTCTCAGGGAAGCGCAGCAGCGTGTGGGAACGCAGTCTTCTCTTGAAGCCGCCCACATTGATGCGGATCTCTCCATCCTCGACGTCGGTCTCGGACATGTCCCACAGGCTCTGTCGGGTCATGCTGGAGATGCCCAGACGCCCGCGCCGCGCGGGGGCGCTACACCTGAAAACAGAGGGAACCGCATCTATGTGAGCGCCGGCACTCCCCACCCCAGTCTCTCTTTTTCTATCTCCTCCACCCTCGCCTTGCGGGCCTCTCCAGCAGGGTCTCTAGGTGCGGTCCAGCACTGGGTGCAGGAAGGGCTCTATGGGAGTTGACTCTCTTTCCAAGGCATGGGTGTATGTTTCTACTAGTATACCCGGGCCTCCACCTCCTCCCGGGAGTGGCGCCTACCGGCTCTGAAAGCCCAAGGGGGCTGCGTGCTGACCTTGCCTGTGAGCAGACCAAGGAGACGCCCCCGCCCTCTCGCCGCAGACAGGCGGGACCCAAGCTGAGATGCGCACCAGCAGGGCTGGGCCAAGAAAGGGGCGCGGAGATTTGGGAGGAGGCAAGGAAATTCACGGCTCTAGTCTGTAAATCTGGGCCGAGGGGTAAGAGGGTCAACTCAGCGTCCCAGATCTCCAGCCTTCAAGGACCGATCCCATTCCCAGCCCCCTTCCTGCCCCCACCCCCGCGCCCTTCTGGCGCCGTGCTCCCCGGCCGCGTGCGCTGCGCCTTCCCGGAGCTCTCCTTGCGCGTTCTGGAAGCGCTTACCTGGGTGCACCGGAGCCCGCGGCCGAGGCCGGCGGGAAACTTCCCCGACCTGCTGGCGAGCATCGCCGCGGTGGCCGCCGCTGGCTGGCTGCGCGAGTGCGCGCGGGTGCGAGGATGTAGATGTGTGCGCCTGTGTGTGTGCCCCGCCACCGGGCAGGCGGGGTCCGCCGTGCGCCTCCTTCAGTCTCCGGCCCCACACACCGCCGCCCGCATCCACGAGAGGCTCACAGGTGGCTGCGTGGCCCCGACGCTCGTGGAGCCCCCCTTTTCCGATCCGCGCGCCCTTCACCCACCACGAGAGGCAGGAGCCCACGCCGCAGGCGCCCGCGGAGCGGGGGCGGGAACCGAGCTGATGCGCCTTGCAGAGGGCCCTGAGCTGAGCCCCGCGCTGCTCGCTGGTGCTGAACGGACAGCTCCGAGCGCTCCAGCCCGGGGCACAGTCGCCACCCAGACTCCTGAGACATTCTGGGGAGTCATTCTCCGAGCGCCCCCCAGCTTTGCACGGAGCTGACACCTTTTCCCCCTCCCTCGGCATCCTCCGATGACAGCTGTTATTGTCAGCACCCCCAGGGCTCAGACAGAGGGTTGCCTACAGTGACTTTTCTCCCTCTCTGGGTCTGTAGGAAACAGACTAGGGAATGAAGGATGGCTTCTATGTATAGGGCGGATAGAGCAGCAACAGAATGATCTACGGGGCTTCCTCTTTTAAAAACCTGAAGAAAAGTTTCCCACACCTGAAAATGGGGTTATCAGAAAACGGGAGCTGTCAGAAAAGACTGAGGTTGAGCTGTGGCAGGGATCTGCGTTGGGTGCATGCATAGGTCCTATTGGCATGGGGATTAGTAATGGAGTTCTGTTTGAGAATTCTGCATGGTACCGTGTATGTACAAGCCAGTGTAATGTGTGAGCTTCAAGGGAGTACTTGGAGTTCTGGGAATATGTGGTCTGAGAAGAGTAAGACTTCCCAATGTCTGTGTACAGTATTGACAACTAAGCCTTCTGATGGATGGGAGGATGCATGCAGTGTGCCCGTGTGTGGGGATCTGGACATGCGTCAGTGTGGTGTGTGTATGCAGTGTGAGACTGTGGGCTGTGTAAACAGTGGCTTCAGCACAGAATCCCAATCACAAGATTTAGGGTCCTCCCATTGACTAAGCCAAGAAATGGACCCTTATTTCTTGGTGTCCCCCTGGTCTCTGAGCAAATGCATGGTCCTCATTTTCAGGATTGTGGGGTGCATTGTTAGCAGGAAGCTAGCATCTACATGTCTCGGTCAGAAGTCATAAGACAGTTCTTACAAGGCAGCTCCAGACTCAGGAAACACGGCTCTAAGGATGCCGTCTGAATTGAGAGGTGTTCTTGCTCTAGACTGTTTGATGGGTTGGAGCTGAGCTCTGGGTCAGAGTGTTTGTCTGGTATGTACAAGGCCCTAGATATTGATCCCCAGAACCATGTGAATAGTGCAAAAGACTAGCCTGCTCTGGGCTTCCTCAGATGGTCTGGAGAGAATCCTTGATCTAGTTTTGTGTTGTGTCACTGGATCCAAGTATGACTCCTTGTGCCAGCCACTCACCTTTGAGCGTATGTGGTGTGTGCATTGATACTTGTGTCCTCACTGAGAGGACATTACACCCATGTCTCTGAAGCCTCTGTGAGTGTGGGGCTTCCAGCAAAAGCAGTCCTGTGTGGGAAGAAGAATAGTGTGGTGTGGTTCACACAAGCTTCCTTTATGTTTGATGCTAGTGGTGGCAATAGTGGTAGTGGTGGCGGTGCTGGTGTTTGTGTGTTTGTGTGTGTGTGTGTGTGTAGAGAGAGAGAGAGTGGTCTGTCAATTGGTATCTGTCTGCATGTCCATTTATTTGTAATTACTCATTTCTTAGAATGTTTTGATTAGCATATAAAATAATGGCATTCTCTTGCATTTATCACTGTGCTTTATTCATGTCATTCTATCTACTACTGCCTTACTGCCCCCTCTCTCCCACATTCCTCCCCACATCCCTGTCTTATTTTTTGATGCAGGCTCTCTCTGTGTAGGTCTGACTGTCCGAAGCTCACTACATAGACCAGGCTGACCTTGAACTCACAGTCTGCTTGCCTCTGTCCTCTGAGTGCTAGGATCGTAAGTGTGTGCCACCTCACCTGGCCCCAACCATTTATTTCTATGGGAGTCTGCTTGGCATAGTCTCACCTTATCCTCTGTCTAGTTGGGCTGGATCTATCTATCATTTGAAATCTGGAGCTTCCCCACACCTGGCTGGGATTCTGTCTGGAGGCTTCTGAGTCTCCTTCATCCCCACAGTGTGCTGTTGAGAGACTGGCAGCCTTTGTAGAGAGCCTGTGCTTTGGTGGATGTGTAATCACCAGCTTGCTGACTCTCCTTTTCAATAACCCCTCACCTTGGAGGGTGGCCATGAGGTCTCCACACTGCAGTGACCTTAGCATCTGGGAACATCCACTCTCTCTAGCCTGCTTCCCAGCCTCTCAGTTGTCTTTGAAGAATCCCAAGCTTTACCAATCCCAAACCTTGTGCTACACCCGTCTGTGTGGGTTCTGTGGCATGTCACTATTCTCAGATACACGCATCCCTTCAGCCTCAGTACCTGATCTGAGCTCTGTTTATTAATCACCTTTTCCTGTGTATTTGGGGTCTCTCCTAGGAACAGACAATGAGCCTGATGACGCTTGTTTTTTTTCCTCCCCTACTTCATTTATCTCACTCACTTCTTCTGTTTGTGGAAAAAGAAATTCTCAACTTCTGTTTCTTAGTTCTTCCCACAGGCTTCTGGGCTCACAGACTTCACATTTCCCTATTAAAGGCCACTGTCGGCCACCCATAGCTCTGCCTTTCTGCCCCGCCTGTCACACATCTCCATCTTATATGTTTTGCTTGTTTTCTCCCCTTCATCCACTGCAATATCCCCTTCCACACCTCAGGCTACATTGGAGTCCTTGTTTATACCTGCCCTCAATTATATTTCCTGTGGGGCCAGGGGCAAACCCCACACCCACCTTTCCCTGAGTATCAAAGTGAATTTGGAGTCTGCAGGTTGAAGCCAGAGTTTAGGGCCATGAGCTTTTTCTTGGAAAGGCTAAGCAGCGGCTCCTGGGCCTGACAGATGCCTGTGCAGAGAGTTAAGTGTATGTGACAGGCGGAGACACTTGTTTATTTCCAAGTCAATGCACTAAAGAGAAGTGGAGCCATCTCCCTCCTTCTGTAGCAAAGAAGCTGTTTTTGTTTATGGTTTATTTAGAGGCCTGAACCCTGATCTTAAAATATAGCTGCCTGCTTCCCTGGTGGTGTTGTCTAGGCTTGCTTGAGGGAGTTGTGAAGGGGTGGAGAAGTGGGGAAGGCACTCTGGGAAGGGGGATGAGGGGATCCTGGGTGGTGACCCAGATCCTTGCACCTGGGTGACTGTCTCTCTGCTTCCCCTGCCAATGCAGATCTTAGCTGAGCCCACACACCACAGACTCAGTTCCTTTCCTGACAGGCGAGGGGGCTGCTTCAGCGGCCTTTTGCGTGAGCTGGGCTGCCTGACCTACATTCCCTACTCTACAGAAGAACAGAGCCCCATCTGTCCCTGACCCTGATAGAATAGACCACTCTTACACCCCCTCTCCTGCTGCCTACCAGCCCCTCCCCCACTGCAGCACAAATGTCTCCTACAATACAAGAGGGTCATGTCTTGCCTCCTCAAAGCAGTCAGGTCCTTCCCAACACACAGAAGGAAAGTCACCTGACCGTCACCGCTCCAACACTTTTCATGTTATGTATCTCTTGCCACCTCTCAAACGTCATCTCGCTGCTGTGTTTTGTGCCCTGGCCATATGTTCCCTTTGCACCTGTGGCCTTTGTACCCACAATCATGACAGCTTCACATGACAAGCTTTTCTTTTCCTTATCATTCAGGACATGTTTAAATGTCAGTGCCTCCAAAGCATGACTTCCAAGTTAGCTGTGAGCGTCTCAGCCTGCTTCTGCCTGTGCCTTCACCATGTGGACGTTAAACAGCTGTTGAATACCAATTAAGTGTGAGTGAACAAGGTTCCGGTTGCTACCTGAGGTTGTCCCACGACAGTCTTTGCTTCAACATCTCCTGAAGGAACAAGAGAGGTGCTGTGACTGGAGAAGCTTCCGAGCTGTGGGGGTTGGGGAGGAGGCCCTCTTCAGCAACTGATCTAGCAAAATCTAGTGGGTCTCCAGCTACTCAAAGTCCCCATGACACCTCTAGCCTTGAACCAGACCAATTGATGCAGAATCCCCAGTCTTTTCTTAAAGCTCCCAGTGTGAACCTAAGGTGGTGCAAAGACTGATAGATCTGTGAAGGTGCCAACCCATGGCTGTGCGCCATGGGCCTGCACCCTGAGGTCAGCACCAAGAACAGTGGCTATGTCTTCCATGCCTGCCTGTGATAGAAGCTCCATGGCCCTTTCCCCGTTCCCCCCTTGCCTCTGTCAATCCTCTCTTGCTGAAGGGCTCATGGTACCTGCTGCCCTAGGAATCCTTTAGCTTGGAGAGAATTCATTTGCAATTAGAAGTAATCATATGTTTTCTCCTTAGACTAGGGCCAGCTCCTTAGCCCCTTATGATTCTAAGAGTGACAAGGACTGAGGAGGGTAGAGAAATGGCTGGGTGCATATGGTGTTTGCTGTGTAAACACAAAGACCTGAATCCAGTCCCTAGAACCCATGAAAAAATCTAGGCATGGGTGTCACGCACTTACCATCCCAGACCCAGGAAGGCAGAAAAAACGGGGATCCCCAGGGTTTGCTGGCCAGCCAGTCCAGACTAACCAATGAGTGCAAGCTAACAAGAGACCTGGTCTCAAAAACCTGGGGAACAGCACTCAAGATTGAATTTGTGTTTCCATATATATGCACGTATATTTATGAATATTCGCATACATGCATACACATATAAAAATGAACTAAAAGTAAGGACTAGGGAGCCGGACACATAATTCAACGGTTAAGAACATTGGCTGTTCTTGCAGAGGACCCAGATCCAGTTACTAAACTCCAGTCCAGGGGATTCCACACCTTCTTCTGGCCTCTGCTGGGTGCTACTCATGCACACAGTACATAAACACATATACAGGCAAAGCAGGCATGCACATAGTGCACACACATACA